AATGAGAAAATACAGATAAGTATTTTGGGATTTTTGCCACAGGCAAATGCGTAGAAAAATGTGTGCAGAATTATACGTGTGGCCTGAACAGGTTTTTATATCTTCCAAAGCTATTAACGAAATAGTGTTCATCTAAAATGGTGTGATTTCTCTGTTGGTCACATCTAATAATTACAATTTCAGACTGTGCCATCTGGGGGAAACATTTTTCCATAATTGAATAAAATCCTATTAGACCATGAAAACCCAGCAAGGAGAAGACTTGGCTAGGGTAATGGTCATAATTCACCAGGACTCTGAAATGTAGGGAAGCTCCTCAAGAACACTATTGTACTGGAGAATTACCTAATGGGTTTGACAGTAACACTTAGTATGTAGTATCTGTTTTTAGAGGGTTCTCGTCATTTCTCATACAATCCATGCAATCCTTAATAATATCACATTATTTTAATGTAGCAATGATGAGAAGCTAATGCAATGCACTGTGTGAAACTGAAGAGCACATCTAGACCTAGAATGAATGCAGCTTGACACAAGTTGAACTGTTCAACAGTGGAACTCACTGCCTTGGAGTCTGGTGGGAACTCCTCCTTTGGAGGCTTTTAAACAGAGACTGGATTGCCATTGGTCAGGGTGTTTTGATTGTGCTTTTCCTGCATGGTAGGGGGTTGGATTAGATGGCCCATGTGGTCTCTTCCAGCTCTATTATTCTATGGGAATTTTAGTGCTACAAGGTCTTTAGCCTTTTCTGCCGAAGAGTGCTGGTGCCTCGTCAAAGAGCAGACCTTTCCACAATTTCAGCTCAATCACAAATCATCTCCCTTGATTAGACAGGTAAGTTTTTAAAAAGCCATTCTCAGGTTCACATATGTATTAACGCTACAGCATTCACAGTTTTGTTATTCGAAAAAGTTGTTGAAAGAGTGCAGAAAAAGGTGTTGGCTATATCCATTGCTTTCTCTTTGCCTTTATCTCTGTGACCAGCTTGTTCCTTTTATGTCCAATTAATGGCATCTTTTTCAAAGAAGAGTGAGAAGGGCAAACAAGAACCATATTTCTCTGTTGTTAAAAAAAGGTTGTTTTAAATATACAGCTGACATTTGGGAGTGATTATTTTTCTTTCTTCTGCAGAGCGTTTAATTAGAAATGAGTGTTGCCTTTAACTTGAGGGACTTTCTATGCTTCCAAGGAAGACCTGGCCTGCAAGAGTCGTGGTTTGGTGTGTTGGGTGCCTCATTGGATGATTTCTTTTGAGGAGCAGCTAAGCCACATATGTATAACAGGTTGTGATGGCCTTTTATAAGAAGATGCAAAGAGCTATTTTTTAATAACAGCAGCTGCCTTCTACTTTAGATTTTTATTGTTTGTTATTTGTTGTTGTGCACATTCAAATCATTGCCAATTTTTGACAACTCTAAGGTGAACTTATCAAGATGTTTTCTTGCAGAGTGGATTTCCAAGACTGGAAGGGGATTTGAACTCTGGTCTCCAGAGTGATAGTTCTGCACGTTAACCTCTACACCAGACATGGGCAAACTTTGGCCCTCCAGGTGTTTTGGACTTCAACTCCCACAATTCCTACCAGCCGGTATGCTGTTAGGAATTGTGGGAGTTGAAGTCCAAAACACCTGGAGGGCCCAAGTTTGCCCATGCCTGCTCTACACCATTCTGGCTCCCATTTGCATTACTAGTGTGGGAAAAGAGTGTACACGCCAAACACTTTATTTTTATCTGATTTTCCTCATAATGTCTCAAATGAAGCTAGGTAAGTGGAAGATTTCAATTGTCATTTTATTTCTATCATAAGTTTTTAAGGAAGGAAATGTAACACGTATGAGCAAGTGCTTAGTTAAGCGAATATTTAGCACTGGTATTCTGTTAGCACAATTGATACTGTTGTCAAAGGCTTTCATGGCCGGAATCACTGGGTTGCTGTAAATTTTTCAGGCTGTATGGCCATGATCCAGAAGCATTCTCTCCTGATGTTTCACCCACATCTATGGCAGGCATCCTCAGAGGATGTGAGGTCTGTTGGAAACTAGAAAATTGGGTTTATCTATCTGTGGAATGTCCAGGGTGGGAGAAAAACTCTTGTCTGTTGGAGGTAGGTGTGTTTGTTGCAATTGGCCACTTTGATTAGCATTTAATGGCCTAGCAGTTTTCAAGTTGTGACTTCTTACTGCCTGGGGGCATCCTTTGTTGAATGGCGGTTCGCTGTCCTTGATTGTTTCTTGTCTGGAGCTGCAATGTCTTTGTTTACTTTTCTGATTTTAGAGTTTTTTAAATACTGGTAGCCAGATTGTGTTCATTTTCATTGTTTCTTCCTTTCTGTTGAAATTGTCCACATGCTTGTGAATTTCTAACAACTACCATGTCAGACTACACAGAAAGGCCATCGAAATCCACAAGCATGTGGACAATGTTCTTGGCAGGGGGTTGGACTGGATGGCCCAGAGCTCTCTTCCAACTCTCAAATTCCAGGATTCTATGGGCAGTGAGGAAGATGAGGGGAAAAAAAGCTTTTGAGGGCGAGGGAGGTAGGGGCAGGTGGTGGAACAGGAGAGATTGGAGGGGAAGAGGAGGGGGAAAGGAGGAGGAAACTGTGGAGCCCCTTAGTATGCTTCACAGAGCCCAACGGCTCCCTGGAGTACACTTTGAGAATCCCTGCTGTAGTACAATGAGGTATGAGGGCTAGTTCCCTACCAAACTACAAACCCCAACATTACACAGCATTGAGAAATACTAGTTAGATTGAGGTCAAACAATCAGACTTGGGCAAACTCCAGTTGTTAGAAATTGTGGGAGTTGCAGCTCAAAACAAGGCAAGGGCTAAAGTTTGCCCATGCCTGGGGTAGATCCACCCTATGTTTCAACTTCATTTGGTTGTGTGAAGTAGACCTTCTTCCCCTTGATTAGAAAAACAGTGGCAACATGAGAATATTCTTCAACTTTGTGCCATTGCCACTCAAGCAGGGAGCTTTGAGATAGTTTGAGATACATGCCTGCCCTGGACCGTTCTATGACTTACAAGAAGCATGACCTGAATGCCAAACAAAAAGTGGGCACTAGAAACAATATCATACGAAAGCTGACTGGCACAACCTGTGGATCACAACCAGATACAGTGAAGACTTCTGCCCTTGCGCTTTGCTATTCTGCTGCTGAGTGCGCATGAGAGGGGATTTGAACTCTGGTCTCCAGAGCTATAATCCAGCATACTAACTTCTACACCAGGCCTTCCAGACGGAACACATCTCACCACGTTAAAATAGTGGATGTGGCTCTTAATGAGATATACCACATTATCATGGGCTGTCTGCGCCCTACACCACTGGAGAAATTACACTGTTTAGCCGGTATTGCACCAATTGACATCCGCCGGGAAGTAGCAGCCAATAAAAAAAGGACCAAGGCAGTGACATCTCCGGCCCATCCTCTGTTCGGATATCAGCCAGCACGCCAAAATCAAGAAATAGTTTACAAAACACTTAAAAAGAAACACAAAGAGAATAGTCCTATAAGGAAGATCAGACCATAAATAAAAGAAGAGAGGGATAAAGAAAAGAGAACAAGAAGAGAAGAAGGAAAAGGAGGAAACCTCAAGGAAGATACCCAGAAGCCAAGAAATAATCAACTTTTGCCCTATTTTACTTTCTATATTTCTCTATTTTTTCCTCTATTTTTCTATTTATTATTATTATTTAAAACACAGTGAAATGTAATATAATTTGACTGGTTGCCCTGACACAACGAATAAATAAATTTGAAACACAACAAGGTGAGTCCACAGCAGACACTCTGCTGGGTGTTGTATTGGATCACACGTTGGACACTTCCCAAGTGTCTAGGACTGTGTGATGTATCAGCGAATAATGGGTGCAAATCCCAATAAGGTAGCCTTTTGCAGCGGGCAGATGGCAATTTTGTCAGCGCTGATTGTGTTTAAGTGCAGGCCAAGGTCTTTAGGCACTGCACCCAGTGTGCCGATCACCACTGGGACTACCTTTACTGGCTTGTGCCAGAGCTGCTTATTATTATTATTATTATTATTATTTTACTTAAATCTTTTTTCTTTTTTCTTTATTTTCCTTCTCTACTTCCTTCTCTCTCTATCTCCCTTTTTTATGTTTCTTCTCCTTCCTCTATCTTTTTCACTATTTTAATGAATCATAAAGAACATAGATAGATAGATAGATAGATAGACAGACAGACAGACAGACAGACAGACAGACAGACAGATAGGTAGATAGACAGACAAACAGACAGACAGACAGACAGACAGATCGTTTTCTAAGATCTACAGAGATACTCACAGGAAACCTCAGCAAGCAAGAGTCCAAAAGTGGCAGCCTCAAACCCAGCAAATGGGAGACTCTCTCCTGGTTACACAGAAGACTGGGAGACTTGGAAGGCTCTGAACAGACTGCGCTCTGGCACCACAAGATGCAGAGCCAACCTTAAGAAATGGGGCCACAAAGCAGCGGAGTCCACGACATGCAAGTGTGTGGAGAAGAGCAAACCACAGACCACCTGCTACTATGCAACCTGAGCCCTGCCAGATGCACAATGGAGGACCTCTTTATATCAACACCAGGGGCACTCCAAGTGGCCAGCTTTGGGTCGAAGGATATTTAATAGAATGCCAAGTTTGCAAACTTTGTGTTTTCTCAAATACATTGGTTTGCTCCTGATAAGATAAGTAAATAAACTTTGTATAGTTGTGGGGACTTGAGAAGGAAAGCCACAATGAGGAAAAAAGAGAGTGCCCTATGCGAAGATGCTGTCACCAGCGGGCAGAAAAGCCTCCTCCCCTCAGTCAGAAAAAGGCGGGCACAGGGGAGCAGCCAGGAGGGAGAAGACCCCCGAGGGCGCGCGCCTCTTCCTCCCTCTCTTCCTCCCTCGCTCTTTCCCTGGCTGTCTGTCTGGCTCCTCCCCGGGCACCCTCCTCCGGCGGCACCGCCTCTGCTCTCTCCTCGGGCGCCTTCTTCTTCGCCTCCTCTTCTCCCGCAAGGACCAGTCCGGGGCTGAGCCTCGCATGGCCGGGTCCCACGGCGAGGAGGAAGGGGCGCCCCGAGGATGCAGCCCTCGCTCCCGCCCTCGGCTCCCTCCCTCAGCGACCCTTTGGCCATGCTGGACCCCGCAGGTGAGAAAGCCCAGGGACCAAGAAGAGGGCGGGGGGGGGGAAGAGGGGGGGGGGAGAGGGAGGCCGCTAGGGGCAGGGCAAAGGAGGAGGAGAAGGAGACCAACTGGGTCTTGCCTATGCCATGGACATCCCCATCCGCCCTGTTTCAAAGTCATACCGGGCTGCTTTCAGCACTTTGGTGTCACGCTGGAAGCCTCTTAGAATCATAGAATCCTAGAGTTGGAAGAGACCTCATGGGCCATCCAGTCCAACCCCCTGCCAAGAAGCAGGAATATTGCATTCAAAGCACCCCTGACAGATGGCCATCCAGCCTCTGTTTAAAAGCTTCCAAGGAGGGAGCCTCCACCACACTCCGAGGCAGAGAGTTCCACTGCTGAACAGCTCTCACAGTCAGGAAGTTCTTGGCAGTCAGGGCAATTCCTACAATGACAAAACTGACATTGCGTCGTTCTTATATGCCTAAACACCCTCAAGGCTGGCCCTGTCTGATCTTGGAAGCTAAGCAGGCACACTTGGATATGGATAGCACTTAGATGGGACACCACTCATAGAAACCAGCCAGAAGGACTGTTCTGTGAAATGGGTTGCTGTGAGTTTTCTGGGCTGTCTGGCCATGTTCCAGAAGCATTCTCTCCTGAGTCAGAAGCATTCTCTCCTGAGTCAGAAGCATTCTCTCCTGATGTTTCATCCCCATCTATAGCAGGCATCCTCAGAGGTTGTGAAGTCTATTGGAAACTAGGCAAGCGGGGTTTATAGATCTGTGGAATAATGTCCAGGGTGGGAGAAAGAACTCTTGTCTGTTGGAGGCAAGTGTGAATGTTGCAATTGGCCACCTTGATTAGCCTTTAATGGCCTTGCAGTTTCAAAGTCTGTCTGCTTTCTGCCCGGGGGAATCTATGACAGTGGGGTTTATATATCTGTAGAATGTTCTGTGAGATGTTTTCATCTCAGATAAAGAGGCAGCTTCTTAAGTCAGAGAACTGGCCAGCCTCCTTCCACAAAGGCATATAACCCAGAATATCAAGGCAGATAATCCACAAGTCCACACTGCCATATAATCCAGTTCAATGTGGATTTTATATAGTTCTGTGGAAGGGGCCTAAGTCACCATGCAACTTGAAGGCAGACTAATGCCAGATCTCCCTTGCTATATCAAATCCAGATTATCTGCTTTGAACTAGATTATATGGCAGTGTAGACTCATAGAACAATTTCTATGAAGAGACCTTATCTGCTGTCCTAAATTAAAGGGAAGAATGGGGATGGATCTACACTGCCAAAGAATGCTGTTCAAACTTCATTATATGGGTCTACAATTACCCTACTTATATTGTCTCATCATTCAGAAATTCAAGGGGAAACCTCTTCAGTTTATTTTAATTATTTGTAAAAACTTTTTAAAATTTCCTAAAAATCAGTGGATGACTAAAACTTTCTGAAACTTGGCAGGCTTAAAGTTGTGAATGTTGCCTACAAGTGTGTCAAGTTTCATCCTGATAGCCATAAAAATGACTGAGAAGCGACCCCCAAATTTTAAGGAAGCAATTCCAAAGCTCAGGGATTTGGATTATAAATTGGAATGGGACCCCTCCAAGTGTTTACTAATTGAAGAGGGCCAGCCATGTCTCCAAAATGAATTACTAATCGAATTTCATCCATTTTGCACCTCTCTAATCTGAACTCTGAATCTGAACTCTGGAGGGGGGGGGGAAACGAGTCATATTCTCTGCAGCAGATTTGAAGTATGAGGCAGAACCTGTGTGGAAAAGTCGTGCTAAGTTTATTAGTACAGTCAAGTGTGAAGACCTAACTCTGTGTTGTTAAAGGTTGTTAAAGGGAGAATGGATGAAAGGAGGGTTATATATCTATAGCGGTTCAAGGTGCTATTCTGACTCTCTTTGCCCTTCATCTGACTTATTCTGACTCTCTTTGCCTTTGATCAGAGTCCCCAGAGGTGCAATGGGTTAAATCCTTGTGCCAGCAGGACTGCTGACCGAAAGGTTGGTGGTTCAAATCCGGGAACCATCAAATCCGGTTGGTGGTTCAAATCTGTCTGTCAGCTCCAGCTTCTCATATGGGGACATAACAGAAGCCTCCCACAGGATGGTAAAACATCCAGGCATCCCCTAGGTAACATCCTTGCCAATGGCCAATTTTCTCACACCAGAAGCAACTTGTAGTTTCTTAAATCGCTCCTCACACATACACATATAAATCCCTTGATAAAGGACAGGGTGCAATATTTTCCAAGGTAAGTTTCATAGCTCAGTGGAGACTTTAACCTGAAGGCCCAAGTTTCAGTCCAACACATCATCATGAAACACTTGTTTCAATGGCACCTGAAATGCTCAAGTACCAAAGCTTTTGTTGCACACACTCTGCAGAGTAGAGAGCCAGCATAACGCAGGGAATTAAATGTTAAACCGTGGCTCTAGAAACCATGTTTCTCATACCCACTTGGCCATGAAAACCTGCTGGTGACCTTGGGCAAGTCACACTCTCTCAGCCTCAGAAAAAGGGAAAAATAGTCCTCCTCTGAACAAAACTTGCCAAGAAAGCTGATGATAGGACCTTAGGGTCACCATTAGTCAGAAGAAGACAACAAAATCTGCACACTGGATACAAATATGATAGAAATATTGGTTGCTTTATTTCATTCTGTAGGATTTTTTAAAAAACCAATTTATTGATTGATTCATTGAACGAGGAGCAAGCATATCAATCTATTGGATTTAAAATGTACAGTAAAGGTAAAGGTTTCCCCTTGACATTAAGTCTAGTCGTGTCCAGTTCTAGGGGGTGATGCTCATCTCCATTTCTAAGATGAAGAGCCGGTGTTGTCCGTAGATACCTCCAAGTTCATGTGGCCGGCATGACTGCATGGAGCACCGTTACCTTCCTGCTGGAGTGGTACCTATTGATCTAACCACATTTGCATGTTTTCAAACTGCTAGCTTGGCAGAAGCTGGGGTTGACAGTGGGAGCTCACCCTGCTCCCCGGATTTGAACTGCAGACCTGTTTAACCCGCTGTGCCACCGGGGGCTCCAAAAGGTACAGTAGTTGGGGGAAAAAGTGGTTCTGGATTTGACACATTTTACAGCATTGATGTGAAGAGCAAATCAAACCCCAGGTTATTACAGATTGCTAGTAATTCCACAGCTATGGTCATACATTTAGAAATGTAGGTGCTTAAAACACTTGAAAATACCATTAATTCCAAGACACTATTTTCTCACATATTTTTCACCAGAATTACAAAGTGATGGTGTGCTTTACATTCCTCCCTGCCATCGTAGTGCATCACTCTCTGTCTTGAAAATGTTGCATGTTTACTGTTTTATTAGACATAGCTAAGTGGGTTTTTATACACTTATACAGCTTTTAGCTTGTGGCTTCATTAAATAGCAATCGAAAATATGAAAAATATGGAATTACTGGGAAGATTTTACAGAAAAGAGAACTGGCAAATATAATTAAAGACATGTTTTGATTCTTAATTTTAGTGGATCTTTATAAGTTTTTTATCTATTTTACCTTGATTCTGAAAATAGATCTCTGGAAAAGAATCCTACCTCTGAGGATGCTTGCCATAGATGCAGGCAAAACGTCAGGAGAGAATGCCTCTAAACCATGGCCATATAGCCTGAAAAACCTACAACAACCCAGTATCCTATTGGTTTCAGTCAATCTTCCTTCCAAATAATGTAAGATTGGGACATGTTTCTGTTTGGGACAGTGAAAGTGGGTAATATAAAAATTACAAGAGGCTAAGTAATGGTTCTGTATTGCAAAAATGTAAATGTTCCAGATATTCAGATATTTCTAGGCTTTTTCAAACAATATGCTTAATTTTTCATTATTTATTTATTTACAGTATTTATATGGGCTGAGCTTTACCATAGCAAGTTAACCACCAGCTACACTAAACCTTGCCAATCAAAAGGTCGACAATTCAAAGCCCGGGTCAGTGTGAGCTCCTGGCCTTTAGTCCAACTTCTGTCTATCTAGCAGTTTTGAAAACAACAAAGTGAGTAGATAAATATGTACCTCTTAAGTGGGGAAGTATATCCATAAGGAAATGTCAGAAAAATGCCGGTGATTCAGTCAAGGAGGAAGTTTACAAACAAAGCTCTTTGGCAGGGAAAGTGGCACTCCCTTGTGGCTGGAACCGAGCACAGCCTCCAAGATGTGAAAGCCTATACATATATATACCTCTACCTATGTACAGTTGACTGTCTTGTCAGTGTATAACGGCACTGAATGTTTGCCACATATCTGTTCTGTGATCCGCTCTGAGTCCCCTTTGGGGTGAGAAGGGTGGAATATATATACTGTAAATAAATAAATCAATTCATCTCAATTATAATGATTGTGATGTCTTCATAGAATAATAGAGTTGGTAAGAGTACACACTTGTATTTTTACAAATATAGTTTGTGTTCTTCAGCTTAAAATAATTAGTGTACCTTTGTGGATTTGTTTGCTATTAGATGACCCCCCCCCCCCCCCCACACACACACCACCACTAAACAAGTGGGACATTGCAATGCAATATTGTTGTGTGGGGTGTTCCCTTCCAGGATTCTTACTACCTAGTCAAGCCATGTTTCATGATCCTCTATTACATTCCCCCTTCTACTCCCATCCGTATAGATAACATTCTGTGGCTACTGAGAAGTCTCAGCTTTCATTAGGCTTGTATTTCAGTCTTTTTATTCCCTTAGCAACCCCCCCCCCCGAGCAATAGTTTTATAAACGTGCAAACTTTGGGGTTTTGCCAAGGATGTTGATATGTCTGAATGTTGATAGCTGAATTCTGTGATAGAGTGAGTTGTATAGTTTGTGGTATATTCCATTTGCAGAAGGTTTATTGATGCTATGTGTCAAGGTCATTCAAAGAGAGAAAAACTCTTTCTGTACATCTGATTATAGCTGTTGTCATATTCATATGACAACTGGATTTATGTTTCCATTTCAGTTATCCTAGATTACTTTTTGA